TTGGGGGCAAAAGTTAAAGGGGGGGGGGGGGGAGGGGGGGGAAAAGTCCCCCTGAGGGGGGTGGGGGGGGGGATGGGTTAGGCAGGACCCCCCTGTGGGGGGAGGGGGAGGGGGGGGAGGGGGTTTTGGAGGGGGGGGGTAATTTTGGGGAGGACCCCCCGGGGGTAGCAACAGGGGGGGGGGGGGGAGGGGCCGTCCTTTCCGGTTGGGAAGGTGGTTTTGGGGGGGGGGGGGGGGGGGGGGGGATTTTAGGGGGGGGGGGTTTTGGCCCCGGGTTTTTTTTTTTTGGGGGGCCCCCAGGAAGAAAAGGGGGGGGGGGTTTTTGGGGGGGTCCCCTTTAACCCCAGGTTCAGTGGGGGGGTTTGTTTTTAAGAGGGGTGTGTGGGGTTTGTTTCGGGGGGGGCCCCGGCTCCCGGGGGGGGTGGGAAAGGGGGAGCAACCCTCAGGTTCCTTTTTTGGGGGGGGGGGGGGGGGCCCCCCCCCCCCCCCCCCACCCTCACCCCCACAACGTACATGCAACACCATGTAGCGCCTTTTTTCCCGTCACCATTGTACATATGTACATCAAGTAGAGGGTTGTACGGGGTCCGTTGTGTCCGCAGCAGTTACTTGCCGGACGTAATGTTCAGAGAAGAGCCCCTTGGAGCGCCATGAAGCCACAAATGGCTGAGATGGTCGAAGAAGAAAGCAGTGGCATTCGCGCTCCACCCACCGGCTGTTGCTGGACGCCATGCAAACTACTGCTGTCTGTCCAACTCTTTGCGTGGGAGCTGTGTGTCAGCGATCGTCCTGCGGTGGTGCTGCTGGCTTCTGAAAGAAAACAATGTCTTGTAGTCACTTCTTCACACGCTGGTAGGAAAAGAAATGCCTTTGTAGCAGCAACATCCCTCCGAAACGGAGGATCATTCTCTCGGGTGTTAGCTTCATCCTTGATGTCTGCGTCATCTTCACGTATGTTGATGGAAAACCGTTTACTCTGTCTTGTGCGCGTCTTCAAGAAGTAATCTCCGATGCTTCCTTCCACGGCGGGGTGGGTTGCCGTCGGAGATCCGCCTTCTTTCTCGCGACCCTTCATGACTCCCTAGACGCAGGCGGAGCACCCGCTGTATGCATGTGTACGTTGGGCCAGCAAGCCCACCCCGCTCTCCTCCCAATGCGCAAAACCATTGAGTTGTAGGCGTGCGCTGAGCATACGCACAGGATTTCGTATGCATATCCGGATGCATACAGCAGTATGCTGCTGGAAGTCGCTTTTTTTTTTTTGAGCCTAGGCATGCAATCATCGCGATTGTTGGAGCACCACTCGCAGCATTAGTATTTACTACCAAAGCCCCGCCGATCTGGTCTTCTGATGATGACCTATGCATATGATCGGGGCGTTACAAATGCATGTCAAGTTCCTCTGCGATGCATCCCTTTACATTTTATCCCAACGAAGACTCTCGTCAACTGCAGCAGTGGCCCCGGTTCCGTCTTCAACACTGCGTCATGTCTTCTTCCAAAAATTAACACCCGCCGCCCGCCCGCCCGCCTCTTCTTACTACTTGTGTTGCCAAAAAAAAAAAAAATGTGTTCACCCCTATCCGGCAAGTACGTGTGCATTTGGTGGCGGTTGAAATAGTGCCGGCATCTTGTGTTGTTTTCGGCACCGTCAACAGCCACCCCCAAGACCCCCTCGTATCTTTAACTTTGATGCCAACACCCAGACGTGTAATGTCTTCTTGGGCACGCGAGATGTTTTTATTGCGATAAGCGGTTAGGATACAAAGCTCCAACAGCTCGGTACATGCGTACATAGCGGAAGCAATGAAACAGTTTACGTTACAAACGCCACCGGTTGGAGGCAGGACTCGCCAACGGCGTTAAGCGTCATGAGTATCCCTGATGCCAAAGGCGGTACCGCCGTGTATGGTACAAGGCTTATCGGCGATATTATATATGGTGTTCATGCCGTTGCCGCCGCCGTCGCCCAGCACGCAACAGCAGACCTGCGAGTACATCGCAGGGTCAATTTGCCTACGGACAAGCAAACCATTGACTGCGTGTCGGCGTGGTAGAAAAACGTGCCCCAACACAGCAGGTGGACTGCTGTTTTCTCCCCCATGTGTGCACCGAGGCGATGATTGCCTGACGGGAGGCGCGACGACCCTGCTGCGTTTGCGTCTGTTTCGAGACAGGAGCTCAAGATGATCAGGATGAAGCTGAGAGAGTCGGGGCGTCAGATACGCTTCCGGTCGGAGGTGGCGAAGCCCTCCAACTTCCGGGAGCTCCTGAACAGCGGGTGCAGGATGCTGCACTACACTGGCCACGGGAGCAACGAGTTCCTCGCCTTCGAGTCCAACGACGACCGGATGTGCGGGATCATGGAGCCTCTGCACGTGCGTGCTCTGTTTTTGGTGTGAAACCTTTACCTTTCGTTTTGGACGTCCTCCTCGGAGTGTGTAGGGGTCGAGAGCCTTCTCCACGGCCGAAACAGAGTACCGGCGGCATGTTTTATTTTTATTTTGCACATGTAGTGGACGACTGCTGTAACCGCTGTTGTTGTTCGGCTGTCGTCGTACCTCGCTACTTGCAGAGAGATTAGGAACCGCTCACGCAACGTTGTCAGGTATTTTTCCATGCCTCTCGTTGGAGACAAGCGCCCGGTGGTTTGGCTTTCTTTCGTGTTCGTCCAAATTAAGCTTCCCAAACAAGTCAACCTCCTCCGTGTTTAGTCGGTGACGATCAGAAACCCTTGCAGATTGTATAACTGTTGCTTTTCCACAGGAGTTTTTTTTTCCATGCGCGATGCCTTGCCGACTTTGCGCTCCAAGATAAACAAGAGGCGTTTGTCTCAGATGCATGAGCGTTGCCACTGCCGATGATCTTCCTCGCGCCGCCGTATCCCCGACGTTTCTTCTTGGCACGATGGTACATTCACGCACGTCGCGCTGCTTCTGCAGGTGGGGCCTCTGAAGAACCTGTTTCAGGCTGGGGGGGTCCGGACGGAGCTGGTGTTTATCAGCTCGTGTTCCTCGGAGGCTAGCGGTAACGCATTCGTGGACGCAGGCGTGCCGCACGTGGTGGCCGTGAAGCGGGAGGAGAGCGTGACCGGTGAGCCGGTCTCCGTCGCTTGTGTATTCCTTCTTGTCGTCGTCTGGATGATGTTTATTGTTGGTGGCGATGTTGTTGCTGTTGTGGGTGTTGTTGTTGTTGTTGTTGTTGGTGGTGGTGGTGGTGGTGGTGGTGGTGGTGGTGTTGTCAGCGTCTTTTTGCCTTTGTTGTCGTTGTCGTTGTCGTGTTGGTGTTGGTGGTAGTGTTGTCAGTGTCGCTGTCTTGTTGGCCTGTTATTTGTGTAATTTGTCGCTGTATTGTTGCCGCCGCCGCCGCCGCCGCTGCTGCTGCTGCTGCTGTGCCTGGCATCCAGGCAATGCTCTGCTCGGTCGTGAACGATTTCCACAACACAATTTGAGAACTAGTGTGTTTTTCTGTCGCCCGTGCCGTACGCCCACCGCCGCTTTGGCGTCGTCTCGCCCTTTGCACACCGCTTCCTTAGATCAAGCGGCGCAGCAGTTCGCGAAGCAGTTTTACGACGCCCTTTTGAGCGAGGCCGGGAGGTTTACCGTGAAGCAGGCGTTCGACATCGCCCTCAACACGGTCAACGCCCACCCCCCGCACGCGCGCCCACAGGGAGACCACTTCCTCCTGCTCCCGCACGGTGCGTGTTAAATACCGAGCAGCACTTGAATCGATCGTGTTTGTCAAGGAGGAAGAACCTGACAGGGGTGTGGGAGATAGAGAGGAGGTTGTCGATACCTTCAGCGCGTCGCTCTTAGGTTTCGTGATGTGGCGCCGCTGTGCCAAATGTGTTTTTCGCCGGAGGCTTTCACCTTCGTCTTAGCACGGTAGTAGTACAAAAGTACCCCTCGGGATTTGAGCACTACAGCAGTAGACATGAATAATTAGTACAGCCCTTTCGCGTTCAACAAGAAGCGCGAGGGGGCACCGTGGGTTGAACGCTCCCCCCCTTCCCCTACCCCCACGCCCGCTCAGGCGGAAACCACGACGTTCGAATTTTCGACACGCTCCCAGAGGGCCGTTTCGTCGACGAGACCCGTGAACCGCCCGCGCGCCCGCGCTGCGCACGGCCGGTGCCGTTCTACCAGGGCCTCGAGGAGCTTCAGGTGCGAGATTTTTTGTTAGCGTCAACCATTGAGAGAGAGAAAGGCGGGGGGGGGCGTACTCATTTGTTGCTTGCCGTAGTCATTTGACCATTGACCACGCGTCCCTTTCGAGACGGAGCACCGTTCCTACACCTACTAGAGACACCACCAACATTTGGGAGCTCTTTACGTTTCTGCCACAAACTCCATAAAAATTTCTTGCACATCTTATCCCCGTCCTCTAGGGCCTCTTGTGCCCACCATCTATCCCCAATTATCGCGATCGTTTTTTCGCTGTTGTCTAATTTACCAAACTTGTCCATGTCACACCCTCTCTGTCTCATTTCCTCCTCGAGATCCTCTCTTTCCTTCCTGTACAACTCACACTCCCCAACTATGTGGGGTCTACTCTCCTCCGATTTGCCACATGGACATGTGTGTCTATCCTCCTCTTCCTCTCTCCTACGGCTGGTATACCTCTTCCTCCGTTCTGGCAAGTCCAGATCGCCTACTCGAAATTGCAATTTCAGCTTTTTCGCATAGTCCATGGGGCC